TGTGCTGGGCCGGTCTTAGCCCACTGCAACCTATGCGGTCGCAGTGGGCCCTGCACTTTCATAGGCCCCGCCTGTGTAAATCATTAAATTAAATCATTATAACTTATATATAATAACAGGCTTTCTGTGGCCTCCTGATTTTCCAGGGCCTCTTGGAAATCTCCTGAAATTATTAAAATCTCCTGAAAACTCATAAAAATCTACTAAGAAACAGACAAAATAGCCAACAAATAAAAACGGCATTGTCAGCTTTCATTTAATAATAATTCATTGCAAAGACAAAGATATTTTCTAATACAAAATCCTAAGGCTAGGCCCCACGCAATTTGTTTCGCATAGGGCCCCGCAATTGTTACGACCGGCCCTGGGTCAGTGGGACCATTATATTTACATGATTAATAATTTGTTATAATTTTATTCTCTTGTCTGTCTTATCATTACTTATAGATGAAGGAAACAGATGTGTTTACATACAAAGAAGAAGTTCCCGGAGACTCATATTTTGGCCTTGTTAACCAGGTATTTATTAGGCTAGAAATACTTTTTTTTTTTTTTTACTTATATTGAATTTTTCTATCTAGGGAATTAAATGTTAATATTAATTTATTTCTTTTAACTTATTGACTTTCCACATCTTATGTAAGTATGTCTTGTTTGGCGATGACTTCTTTTGCTCCAGCATCTTATTTAGTTATTATTATCAAGAGACTGTTTTATTTTTGTGTCCCCCCTTTTTTTGTTTACTTATAAACTTTTTCTACATTTACAAAAACAATTTTGTTTTAAAACCAAAACAATGTTTCTGTGCATTTGAAATTAGAACTCATCACAGCACTTACTCTTTACGATTTTTGGACATATTTTAACCATTATAAATATTTGTTTATTTTATAACCATAACTTACAAAATGTTGTAGGATCTCTCTAAAGTTGGACCATGCTCTGATGCTGCTAGGATTAATGCTCAACCTTCCACAAATCTTAAAACACCTCTAATGCCATTAGAAACTGGACCAGGTTAATTATTTTACTTTCTTTCCTTTTTTGTTTATAGTCTCTTTTTTTTTTTTCTTTGCTGTAATGTTCCAAATAACCTTTATGTCACATCATATTATATAGCATGTAGTCCACACAGCTGAGCTATTCATAAAGCCTGACAATTTCTTTAGGATGTGATAAATCATACTGCTTGTTTACAAGTATAAAACTTAAAGATTTGACTAATGATCTTGGCTGCACTATCAAACTAAAAACCACATACAAATATTAAAATATATATTTTATTTTCACCATGTTTTAATATATTCAATTTTATTGAACTATTTATAGGGAAACGAACCAGCAAAAGGAAAGCACCCATTGACAGCCAGCAAACTACAGCCCTCAAACAAAAGAAAAGGTTTTTAAATAATTATAATTAGACATCTTTTTTTTTATATTTTTATTATTCTTTGATGCAGAATGACAAACCATAGTAAGAATTACCTGTCAGGATTCTATAATAGTCAAATAACAGTTGTTGGTTTTATATTGCCATTACTAGCAAAGTTGGGGGTCTGGGTTCATGCCCTCAGATACAATGAATTATGCCTCATAACATTTCTTAGGCTACATAATAATTTTTTTTTTACGTATAGCTAAATTTTTTTTAAAGTAACCTTTATGTTTTTTTAATTTTCAATTTTTTTAAAATTTTGCAAACTGTCCCCTTCACTTCAGCTTCAGCATCACAAAAGGGTCAAATATAATTACGTCCTTTAATGGAATATCCAAAGATGAAAAATTCTTTGAAAAAAGGAAATAATTGATTTAATACGTTTTTTATTTTGGCAAGAACCTTTCTTTTGCTTATCACTCTCTTAGATCGTCAATTCTAGGGGAGATGGAAACGTCTGTAAACAAAGTTGCACCTCCATTTTTCATAGTTTTTCTTAAAAATGTTTGAGTAAATAATGGATTAAAATATATAACAAGTGTTAGTTCTGGCCATTATTATTTTTTTATCCTCTTGTTAAAAATAGAGAAGACAATTTTAAGACATCATATGAAAACAAATTAACCCTTTACCTTAAAAAAAACAAAACAAGAACAACAATTACACATTTTTTTTCTCTAGTTTCCATTAAAAAAAATGCAAATAAATTTAAATTTATAACAAATATAAAGAGTTAAAACAATAAATAAGATAGGGGTAATAAACTTTTACAAAAAATAATGAATTTTGGTTCATAGAATAAAAGAAAAACAACAAAAAAACTATTGGGAATCATAAACTAGAAAAACTGCTTGTTGTTAAAGTTAACAAACAATTGTTGGATTAAAAATGATTGGGGGAAGTTTACATTTGGTTACAAGGAAAACCTAAAAGTCAGTATAGTCAGGGCATCATTTATGTAAGTAATTTTTATCTATAAATCTAAATGAATATGTTAATTACTATATATATATATATATCTACCTATATTGATATGTATATTCAATATGAAACAGCTTGAATATTACATTCAGACCTACCTAATGTTAGAGATAATAAATTTTCTTTATAAACATGTTTTATTATTTTATAAAGCAAATTTTGGAATATGAAATACAATGTCTATTATCTAACTTATATGTAAAAAAAAGGATACTTGAAGTGGCTATGCATTTCAAATTTCATTGTTAATGTTAAAGCTGTTTTGTTAGTGTTCATGTAAAATAGATGACATTATCTAACCCCTTAAATTTAATCAGTACTAAATCCTTCCGCAGCGATTCCTCCACATCTTTAAAGCTTCCTTCTCATGGCTACCCTTTGGAACACCCTTTTAACAAGGATGGTTATCGGTACATCTTAGCAGAGACAGACCCCCATGCTCCCAACAGACAAGCCTTTGACGAGAGTGTAGAATGGGCTGGAAAACCAATACCTGGCTACCTGTACAGGTGTATGCTTGGAAGTGAAGTTTTATTGGCATTGCATGATAGAGGTATAAATAGTGTTCTGTTTCAAGCTACATATACTATTCTGAAGCTATGTGTTGAGAAAAAGCCACATTCCTGGTTGCTTTATTAACTCATTACCAAATAACAATTGACATCTGTACAATGGTATCACTGGATCACTGAGTTTTCAATTATTAAGCTGTACTGAATTGAACTTAAGAGTTTTTTTATTTAGGTTTTACAAACATTGAAACACCACATGTCTAAGGCCAGTTAGAGAAGGGTTTTTTGGTGTTATCACAGGGTATCCTCATCTGTGCATTCACAACAGTCCCTTTCTTAATGTCTCTCACTTTTCAAGCCTGTAGTGTGCTGGCCTCTGTCTCATGTGCTGACTAGTCACACACTGCCACCTCTACTCACGCCATTAATTCATCCATAACAAAATATTAAATTGTTCGAAGCTGTTGTTTTTTATGCTTTTAATACTTAAATCATTAATTTTATAAGATAAATGTGACTAACATTAGTTTCAAAAAGTTAAAAGGATTCATTTGCATTATTGTTGACATTTGCATGATATAATGTTTCTTTTGTTTAGGTTTGTAAGTTATAAATCTTAATGAATTAAAAGTATTAAAAAGGGCATTCTTTCTAATAGTTCAAACATATCTATATAGAAAAAAAAAGCCCTATTACTAGTCTAAGATGTCCAAAATATACAACTTTATAATGTTAAACTAGAATAAAAATGTTAGCATCATACATTGTTTTTTTTGTTTCCTAGCACCTCAATTGAAAGTATCAGAGGACCGCTATTCTGTGACAGGAGACAAGGGCTACAGTATGATCCGAGCATCCCATGGTGAGTTGTTAGCATTTTAATTAAAGAAATACTTTTTCTAAAATGCAATATTTCTTTAATTTATTATAATTTAACCTTTAAAAATTGTTCTACATGATAATAGAAACATAACATTTTTCTATGGAATATAAAATTACTTAATTGGCAATAATTAAAGTTTTTTAAATTTACATTATAGGTATAAGTCAAGGAAGTTGGTATTTTGAAGTGACTGTTGTAGAGATGCCAAATGACTCAGCTTCACGAATTGGCTGGTCACTGTCCTTAGGTGAATATATTTATCATTGGGTTATTTATCTTATTTTCATCATGGTGTCTTTGGCTTACTGAATAACATAAAAGGATATTTTGCAAAAACACATTGATTTTTAAATGAATCAATATGGGTAATTGTTGAACCAGAGCTTGTGTGTCCAGCATTATCAACCAAAACCTAAATTTATGGTCATCATTGATATTGTTTTAATATGCTAATTGCACTCTTGATCTCTAGGAAACCTGCAAGCTCCATGCGGCTATGACAAGTTCAGCTACTCCTGGAGATCTAGAAAAGGGACAGCTTTTCATCAGTCTCGAGGACATCATTATCACAATGGTGGCTACGGTGAAGGGGATGTGTTGGGCTTCTATATAAGTCTACCTAAACCGGATGACCCAGAGCTGGTGTTGCCTCAGACCTACAAAGACAGGGTGAGTACAAACTAAATACATAAGGTTATTGTTTAATCTGGTCATGACAGAGGCATATCATGATTAGCCAAAAAATGTTGAAAAAACATGTCAGATTTTTTTTTAAAGAATATCTCAAGTATATGAATTTTTCTAACATAGTAGGCTAGAAATAACAGAATTTTTTAAAAGCAAATTTTAAAAAGAAATCATAACTTTGTACCCTATTTGATTTCATTGTTCTCAGAAATCACTTTCCTGATCCTAACCTAAAATTTGTATAAAGTATAGTTGTTAATTAATAGTTACTCGTTTTAAATTGGTATTAACCAAATTAAAATTGCTTCAAAGAAAAGCACTATATTTTCTCTCAGCTTCCTTAAAAAAAAATCCTCGTTCCTCAGCCCAAGCTATTATAGCATTGAAAAAGAGATATGTTTCCATTCCTGAAGTTAAATTTGTAAAAAATTGTTTAATCAAAACAACAAAGTTCTGTGATGTGTATTCTATTTGACCATAAAAAAAACTCAAAGGATTAAATATAAATAGTTCATAATTTGATTTTATTTTCCATTAAGTACAAGACATTACTATACATTGTTTATAAAATATTCATCTGCATGTTTAGGTTCAGGCAATAAGACTGGACACAAGCAAAACAAAAAGCATTAAGGCACTTTCCCAACATGTTGATCAAAGTTTAAACAATAGCACAAAATTCATTAATTACAAGTTTTTATCACAAACAAGTTTCCAAAATACTTCCAATGACATTATAGGTCTTCAAACTTTATTGTTTTGTAGAAACATTTTCAGCATAAGCTAATCATTAGTATATCATTTGGCACTATCATTAAACCTTCAGAAAACAACACAGCTCTTTATTATTTGATCACTGGATTATCTTGTAAAAATAAGATTGATATGAACAACATACTTTTATAACTATAGCAACATCAGTCAATGATTTAACAATGTACAAGGCGGACAACATTAGTTATTATTTACTAGTGTAGAACAAAACATTGGTAATATATATCTCACTATTATGTACATGTATCATGCATATTGCTGTCAGTTAAAATAACATTTGCATTTCAGTTAAAAATTAGAAAACTTTCTAATAGCATTTTTTAAAATATTGTCAATTTGTTGGTTGCAAAGAAAAAATGAAAATCATTTTATGTTAATTACAAATTAAATATGTGTCTTAATTATGCTGTCCATGAAATAGTAATTAGTTGTTTTTTTTTTTGGAGGGGGGGGGGGAGGGGAGGGGGGATTTTAGTGGCTAATTCTGGTTTAAAGCTTTGTGATGAGAAACTCTCTTGCTTCATTGATTATTATGCAATACTATCTATACTGCTATCCAGTAGCTTCTATTTTTTGACATTAATTCTTTAGGAAACAAGAGTAATGGAAGACCAGGTTTTTAATGGGCATGATTTTATTTAACAAAATCAATCTGTGTTAGAATCACTAGGTAATGACTCTATTTTATTGGTTAAAACAAGTAATGACTCTATTTTATTGGTTAAAACAAAACTTATGGGCAATTGGATTCTTTTCTTGTGTGTAACCAGGACTTACTCGAAATGTTCATAGTTTCTAGTAGTGGTCTTGTCTAAGGCCATAAAATATTTTAAAAATAATTTCCATAACAGGTTTTGACTGTGATGGTTTATAGGTCACACAAAACTTTGTCAGCCTAAATCATGGTTTATGTGTATACTATTAACTTTCATTAACTTTCAACTTTTAAGTTTGTCTTCTAGTTTTTATTTTTTAGAGGTATTAATTTTCTCTTCAGAGGCCACTTAAAGATAGCCTCCCCTTGAAAAAAACTTGTCCTGAATAGCAGGTATGCCATAGTAATGTCAGTAATATCCTTGTGGGAAACAAAGCCAAAACAAAGCATGTCAGCTATTAAGTTGCAACATAAAATACATATTTAAATACTGTTAATAGTGTCCTTTGTGAACAAATAAAATTGCACCATTGTAAATCATGAACAACAAAAGCAAAATAGCAACAAAAACATCAATGCTTTGACACAGTCATCCTAAGCATGTATGGGAAGAGAGAGAGAGAGGTAGACTTGTATAATTTAAATTACAATCCTTTTTTTTGTTGTAGGAACAAAATTTCTAACAAATCATTTAGAAGCCACAAGACTTGATATCCCCGACAGTTCCTATAATATTACTAAAATACAAAATAAAAGTTTTATAATTGACAAAGAATATTCCTATAAGTTATTTTTTACGATTCTGTTTCGTTAAGATGTGACTAAAAGGTCAAATAAATAATCATTGCATTTAGAAAACAGATTTGGCACATTTATCATAGGGTACGCTTGCCTCATTATTATATTATACATTAGAACGTAACGTCTGGAAATAAAGCTATGTATAGAATTACATTCAAAACAAAGGATTATTTATGTATAAATATATACATGTATGTGAATATATATATATATGATCTCATGGAAATGTTTGCATTTGTTTAGCTTGATATATGCACTGTAAGTAATCTCAAACCTATACACACAATGCATTGATCTAAATATAGTCCAGATGGGAATACCATTTCTCCTTTAGTCAATTTTCTTCCATTTGTTAATGTTTTCCTCATGTTAATTTTTTCCTCATCCTCAAGACTTGGTTACTGTGGCTTTTTGTTCTCAAAATAAAATAGAATGGGGCATTCATTTCCTTTGTCTGTAAAAAAAAAAAAATGTCAGTATAGTATATAGTTTAGTTGCAGAACGTTACATTTTGTTTCATGCATGAATTCTATTGTAAGAAAGAACAGAAATGTTTGTATAGGTTAGGGCAGACAACTTACTTGTTTTATTTAGTTGCTGAGGTTTTGTCTTGATGAGAACTTGATCCACTCTTGATTCCTGCTTGGCAACAACAACAACAACAATTATTTGTCTTTATTTTATTTTTTACAAGTGGAATGTGCTTTATGTTTTAGTTTAGACTTGTGTCTTTGTTGGTTTTTACAATGAATCTTCCAGTGCCAGAATTTAATTCACCTTTACATTATTTGCTCCATAGTTCACATGGTCTGAAATGGAAACTTTACTATCTGTTAGACCATTTGAATGAAACTTAGTCATATTTGTTTAAAATTCACACTGGAGAAAATATTGTGCTGTAACATCCCAGTCTACACCAGGATTTGAACCCGGAACCCATGGTTTAGAAGCCAAGTGCTTTACCGCTCAGCCACTGCACCTCCAAGACACATTTAGATTTTTTACAAAATGTTTTAAAATACATTTATCTTGTTACTAATTTTTACCCCTTTGAAAATTCTGACTTTATTTAGCTACTTTGGTTTTGAAATTGTTTTAAATGTATCATTAGTTCAATATATGAATGAATATACCAAACTAACCTGCTCGAACTGGGATTTTACTTTGTTTGCCTTTGGCTATTTGGTCGTCTGTCAACTCTGTTTTATCCTGTTCTTTGTCTGTTTGTTCCTCAGTCTCACTGCTTTGAGTCTCTTGTCCAGTCTCTGTCCTACCGTCTTCTTTGAGACTTGCCCTTGATTCAGCATCTGCAGCAGGATATTGTTCAGGAGACTTTCTTTCTGTTTGTAAATGTTTTTGTTCATCTGAATCCTGATTTAAAGGGGAATCAGCTTCAGTTTCAGTTATTGTTTGCATTGTTGTTTTGTCATTGGTGAGAGTCTCATCTTCTTCTGGTTTCGTGTCACAAGAAGCTGATGCCTGGTCAACTGTCTGCTGAGTGTCTTGCACAGAGATGTTTGCCTCTGTTGGTTTGGATAAGTCCTCAACAGAAACTTTAATGTTGGTTTCTTTGGTTGTCTGGCATTCAGTTTCTGGTGCTGGCTGAGAACATTCCTGCTCGGGTGTGCTGTCAGAGTCTATTTGTGACTGTTCACACTCTGTGGCTGTATTAGTTGGCTCAGTGTCTTCCTGTGGGGATGTCACCTTGGCTGCCAAACTTTCTTCTGTTTCAACAAGAGTGAGTAAAGAGTTGACATGCTGAGGGGCAGATGTCACTTGAGCCTGAGAAGATGTGACATGATCTGCTGAGACAGCTTCACTTGTCTTTGTATCTGATGATGACTCAGTTGGCGTTTTGTCATCTTGAGAGGCATGTGTTTGACTGGGAGCATTTCTTTTCCTAGGGATAGGTTTGGGGCTAACCTTGGGGGCTACTTTAAGCTTATTTGAAGGACTAGAATGGGCTGAGTTTGACTGGGATGAGTGACCCTCGTGTTGGTCCGCATGAGGGCTTGACCTGCCTGTTTCTAGGCTTGTCACTGCTTTTTTACCAGACAAGTCTAAAGCTGGGACCTCCTTCACTGCATTACTTTCCTCTGTGGAGTGTAGCCTAGCTAAAGTGTTTTCAATGTCTGCCAACATTGAGGATCTGGTTTCTCTTTTGGAATTGTCATTCTCTGAGTGGGGACGAAGTTGAATGGCCTCCTCATCTTGTTTTCTGTTGTCATCTGTCTTGCTGCTATCCAAGTGGTCAGTTGTGTTCTCATCATTCTCATCACTTGACTTGAGTTCATCTTCACTCAGTTCCTGAAAGTAAAACACAAAGTCTGTACAACTTGAACCAGTTTTTTAGTGTCACTTTGAAACCTCATAGTGAATTTCAATGTTCAATCTCTAGCGTTTTAAAAAGCCGCAGTAAGTAGTGTTTAACTCTTACCTGTTAGGTCAAGTAAAATGCATTCCACGGAAATAGATGAAAACTATCCCCATGGCTCAATACATAAACTCTCTACTCCTCAATACACAGGCTGTGAACTGTAACAAATATTCTTAACTTGCTCTCATTGTATCAATCATTTTCTCTTATTCAGAATGATCTTTTTCTTAACTTACTGTAAAAATGTCCAAGTTTTCTGTTGAACGGTTTAATGCTCTCGGGGCCCTGCTCTGTCTTGCTCTGTTCTTAGGAGGGGCTGGTTTTCTATACTGAAAAAAAATGAAAAGCATGTGATGTTCAGATAATGAGTGTAGAAACCCAAAGCACTAACACTTGTGAAAAACTATTATTGTTGACATGTTTTAGGGACTGTCTCAACTTACTGATCTTAAGATTTCTGTTTCCCTTTGAACCACAGAGAAGTCTCCTAATTCTGGTATAGCTTGAGAGGCAGGACTGGAAAATAAGATGTCATTGATGTTTATTCTTTCATTACAAAAGTTATTATATAATAAGGTCAGGTTACAAAGTAAGGTCATGGTCACACAATATTTTCACATCTGAACTGATTCACCTTCTGTCTTCACTGTTCCATGGGGACTTGTGTAAAAGCATGCTATATACCCTACTTAGAAATATTTTTGCTATCCGCATTTTTTCTTCTGGATCTTTAAATATTTTGTTTTACTTTGTAATAATCTGAACAGCAATAGAAGAATGGACAAAAACAAACATTTTTTTTTGATGGTCTTTGGCGACCCCTGGCAAATTGTCAATCGACCCTCAAGGGGGTCCACGACCTACAGGTTGAGAACCCCTGTGTTAAGTTTTTCTCTAGTGTTCAGCATTATGCTTTCATACATTTTTCATATGTCACTATCAAAACTTAGCCCAAGACAAAATCCCATTTCTTCGAACTTAGCCCTAGGTACAGTCCCATTTCTTCGAACTTAGCCCAAGACAAAATCCCATTTCTTTGAGCTTAACCTTGACACAATCCCATTTATTCGAACTTAGCCCTAGACATAATCCAATTTCTTCTAACTTTAAACATTATTATTTCACTGCCTTGTACCAACATAGGAATTTAAAAAACAACAACCAAATAAAACTGGTAGATGAGAATTGTTTTTTTTTAGTACCAGTTGACTGTTGACTCTATACGTGTCTAGAAAGTATCACCCACAGTGAGATCTCTAAGCACATTGTACTGCTCAATGCACATTTTTTTAGTACATAATCTTTCCCTTCACTTTCCATTTGATCCGATGTATCGAGCCCCTTGAACTGAAGTACTCAGCAGCTTTAGTCTATAGGCAATGTCACTGTGGACATAGCCACTAGACATCTGTGCTAATACCTCTCTCTCTCTCTCTCTTTTACCCTCCCACTACCCTCCTCCTCTTTCTTTCCTCCATCTTAAATGCATCGACTTTGTGTATTGGTCTATTTTGTAACACTCTGTAACTGTTGAACAGATCTTTTTTGTACCTTCTTTTCTTGCCCTGTTTGTGGATATCCCAAAATCTATACAGTTTAATATTGTTGAGTAACAAGTTTTTTGGAGCGTAGGTAAAAGCTAGTTATGCAGGGTCGGAGAGCTAGTGGGTCTCTGTGGTTAAAGGGTGACTCAGAGAGATGGGTAATATGTCTAGAAAATAAACAACACTGGCCTTGCAGGACGTTATGCTAGGTGCCAATGAAAGAAATCACTTGGCGGGCTGAAGGGAAGACACTTGTGGTGGTCTATGAGAAACTCTAAATGATTAACTTGTTGCTTTCTGATTGTATCATAACACAC